CCTTTCCCTCCTTCCTCCGGGAAAGTGCATGTGAAATATCACCTTCAGGATTCCTGCCGGGGTTGCCCAGAAAGGCAGCAGCTGCCTCCTCTGTGCCCTTTCCGAGCTGTGTGTGCTTTTCTGTTACGGCCCATTACATGGCATGGTCCTTTCTGCTGTTGGTGTTTGCATCTCCAGCCGATTGAGAGCTTCTGGAAGGCAAGGACTAGGCTGAACTCTTGCCATCTCTGTGTTCTCAAGGCTCGCTTAGGGCAGATACTCGGAGAAGCAGCAAGGGAAGGGACATGTCTCCCCCTACTCCTGGCCCCTGTGTCCTCATATATCAAGCATTTGCTGCATGCCTACCGTGTGCTGAGCTGAACTGTCTGCCATTAGTCGAGGGCTCTGGGCCTCTTTATCCGGCTCCAATGGGCCAGGGACACCTGCTTCAGAAACAAGAGGCCTCAGGGATCCAGCCAGAAGCCTGGGCTCCATTACTGTCCCTCTACCAGTAGAGCAGAGTCCCAGAGACCCCATAGGAGGTTCCACTGATCAACCCCTTGCCCTGGGTCTGGGATTTCAGGTACATTCAAATTCTGAGTCTGCTACTCCTTGGCCGGGTGATCTTGTCTCTTGCCCAGCCTTAATGGGGGCTGTTTCTCCTCGATGGAGGCTGTCCGTGCCCACAGAGCCATAGTCTGAGCCAACCCCAGGAGACCTTGTCCCCTATGTCTCCTCTGCAGGCACTTTCTGTTTGTCACACTGTGAACTTTGTCACTCTTGGATGTTTTCTTGATGCTCTCGGGGCTGCCCTGGAGTGTCAACCTCAGGCCCAGTGAGGAGTCCCAGCTCTGCCACTCATTTACTACTTGACTCTGGTTGAATTGCCTCACTTCGAGTCCCAGGTTTCTCTCCTGAAGATGAAGTTGCTATCGCTTGCCTTTGAGGGTTGGTGTGAGGCACAGAGGAGGCGTGAGGGACAGCCACATTGTGCACTGGTGAGGAGGCAGCATCACACTCCCTGCCCTACAGGAAACACATCCACTGCCGTGAGAGTAGCGAGAGCCTGAGCAGACATGGGAGAAGGAGCACTGGACAGGTGTTGGGAGCCCAAGGCTCTGACCCCAGCCTGTGCCCTTGAAATAGCTGCTCCCCGCCGGGCTCAGTGGCTCAGCCTGTGGGCTCAGGCTTTGGGAGGCCGAGGTGAGTGAATTGCCTGAGCCTGCGGGTTCGAGACCCACCTGGGCAACTTGGTGAGACCTCATCTCTACAGTAAAATCAAAAAAATTAGCTGGGGCGTGATAGCGCGTGCCTATAGTTCCGGCTGCTTGGAAGGCTGAGGCGGAAGGATCACCGGAGCCCACCAGGTCTAGGCTGCGGTGACCGGGATCAGCCACTGTACTCCAGTCTGGGCAACAGAGTGAGACTCCAATTCAAAAAAGAAAAGAAAAGAAATAGCTGCTCCCCAAGCTAGGTCTCAGCCTCCTGTCACTACTCTGACCTCTAGGTGTGTGGCAGGTGACAGGCAGTAAAGAGGACGCTGCTGCCTCTTGTCAAGGAGGGGCCTTCCCAGGGTGCCTCAGCAGCCAGGAGGTATGCCAGGAAGACATGGGGGCTGCAGGGTCACAGGCCTCAGTCTAGAGCTGATAAACATTATTGGTGTGTGAGGAAAGAGGGAGGAAGGTGAGTGGCTCTGAAACCGCTGAGACTGATTTATTGGTTAATTAGTGGGTTTTTACAGCCACGGACTTCTCCAGCTGTGTGCAGGGATAGGCAGGGGAGGGATCACTGGGAGGCCAGCTGGAGGTCAACTGTGGCTTGGTGTCTCTCCTGTGCCAGGGTACCAAATGGCTGAAGGAATCGCGCAAGGTGTTTGGACCAGGGCATGAACCCAGGAGAAGCCCATCTGGACCAGCTAAAAGAGTACCAGAAGAGAGCTCTCTTACAGAAGGGGACTGAGAGCTCTCTCAGGTTTCCAGGGCACCCAGTCAGGTGTGGGGAGCTGCAGTTTTGGAAAAAAGAATCAGGAAGAACCAAGAAAAACTGTGGAAACCATGGAAGTGGAGCTGTCCCAGAGATGGAGAAAGACCACTGAGTAGGAAAAGTTAGACAGTCATGGTTTTGAATCCAAGCTGTGCCAAACACTAGCAGTGTGACCGTGGGCAAATCACAAAACCCCTCCGGTCCTTGATTCCATTTGTAAGATGGGGCTAATCATATTTGCAAAGCTGCCTTGATAATTAAAGAACGTAGCACAAGCCAGGCTCGGTGACTCAGCCTGTAATCCCGCGCCTTTGGGAGGCTGAGGTGAGTGGATTGCCTGAGCCCGTGGGTTCGAGACCCGCCTGGGCAACTTGGCGAACCCTCATCTCTACAATAAAAATCAAAAGTTAGCCGGGCGTGGTAGCGCACGCCTGTAGTTCCAGCTACTCGGAAGGCTGAGGCGGAAGGATCGCCGGAGCCCAGCAGGTCGAGGCTGCGGTGGCCAGGAGCGGCCACTGCACTCCAGTCTGGGCGACAGAGTGAGACTCCAACTCAAAAAAAAAAAAAAAGAACGTGGCACATACAGTAAGTGCTCTATACATATTTGCCGTATTACTTGGCAGTGTTAAATTTCCTAGGCCCGGGGCTGGGACTAAGGGGCTCGGTAACCTAGAAGGTACCGACCCAGTCGGGGGGACCGCCCTTCTCCCAGACTGGCCATAGACAGTCTGGGGGCTGCCCTGCTGGGGGGCTGTGCTACTGCTCCGCTCTGGAGCTCGGACAAGTCGCTGCCCTCTCTGGGTGCTCTTCAGAGGGCGCCCGACCACGGCCTCCCCTAGCCCAGTGGCGTCCGCCCTCGGGGGAGGACACAGACAGACAGGCGGACACCGGCAGGATCCAGGCGGGCAGGATTTATTCCGGTCCCGGGCAAGCGGGGCCGGCCCA